ACAAAAAAAGAAAATTACAGACCAATATCCCTCATGAACACTGATGCAAAAATCCTCAACAAAATTTTAGCCAATAGAATTCAGCAACATATCAAAAAAATAATTCACCATGACCAAGTGGGATTTATACCTGGTATGCAGGGATGGTTCAACATTAGAAAAACAATCAATGTAATCCATCACATTAATAAAACAAAAGACAAGAACAACATGATCTTATCAATCGATGCAGAAAAGGCATTTGACAAAGTCCAACACCCATTCATGATAAAAACTCTCAACAAAATAGGAATAGAAGGGAAATTCCTCAATACTATTAAGGGCATTTTTACAAAGCCAACAGCCAACATCATCCTAAAGAGAGAGAGTTTGAAAGCATTCCCACTGAGAACGGGAACCAGACAAGGATGCCCTTTATCACCACTCTTATTCAACACCTTGCCGGAGATCCTAGCCAGAGCAATTAGGCTAGAAAAAGAAAGAAAGGGCATCCAAATTGGTAGGGAAGAAGTAAAAGTATCTCTCTATTTGCAGGTTATATGATTTTACACCCAGAAAACCCTTAAGAATCCACAAGACAACTACTGTAACTAATAGAAGATTTTAGCAAAGTATCAGGATACACGGTAATCATACAAAAATCAGCTGGATTCCTCTACACCAACAAAGAGAACTTCCAAGAGGAAATCACCAGATTAATACCATTTACGACAGTCCCTAAGACGATAAAATACTTAGGGATAAATCTAACCAGACGTAAAAGACCCTATACAATGAAAACTATAAGACAATAGTACTGCAAGAAACCAAGAGACCTGCATAAGTGGAAAAATATACCTTGCTCATGGACAGGAAGACTCAACCTTTTGAAAATATCAATTCTACCCAAAGCAAACTACAGATACAATGCAATCCCGATCCAAATTCCACCGGTATTTTTTAATGAGACAGAGAAACAAATCACCAACTTCATTTGGAATGGGAAGAGGTCCCAGATAAATAAAGCATTACTCAAGAAGAACAAAGTGGGAAGCCTCACACTACCTGATTTTAGAACCTATTAAACAGCCACGGTAGTCAAAACAGCCTGGTACTGGTACAACAGACACACAGACCAATAGAACAGGATAGAGAATCCAGACATAAATTCATCCACCTATGAGCAGCTGATATTTGACAAAGGGCCAAAGTCCGTTAACTGGGGAAAAGACAGTCTCTTAACAAATGGTGCTGGCGTAACTGGATATCCATCTGCAAAAAACTGTAACAAGACCCATATCTCACACCATGCACGAAAATTAACTGAAAATGGATCAAAGACTTAAATATAAAATCAAAAACGATTAAGATCATGGAAGAAAAAATAGGGACAATGCTAGGAGCCCTAATACATGGCATAAACAGAATACGAACCATAAGTAACAATGCACAAACACCAGAAGAGAAACTAGATAACTGGGAGCTCCTAAAAATCAAACACTTATGCTCATCAAAAAACTTCACCCAAAAGAGTCAAAGGACAACCTACAACTGGGAAAAAATTTTTGGCTACGACAAATCCAATCAGCGTCTAATCTCTAAAATCTACAAAATACTGCAAAACCTTAACAACAAAAAGACAAATAACCCAATTAAAAAATGGGTAAAGGATATGAACAGGCACTTCACCAAAGAAGACATTCAAGCGGCTAACAGACACATGAAGAAATGTTCACAATCATTAGCCATTAGAGAAACTAAAACTACAATGAGATACCATCTCACCCCAACAAGGCTAACATTAATCCAAAAAACAGAAAATCATAAATGTTGGAGAGGGTGTGGAGAGGCTGGAACACTTACATACTGTCGGTGGGAATGTAAAATGACACAGCCACTCTGGAAATGGATTTGGCACTTCCTTAAAAAGCTAGAAATAGAAGTACCATACAATCCAGCAATCCTGCTCCTTGGAATATATCCTAAGAGCCGTCACACGAATAGATATATGCACACTCAGGTTCATTGCAGTGCTGTTCACGACAGCAAAAAGACAGAAACAACCTAGGTGCCCATCAACGGACCAATGGATAAACAAAGTATGGTATATTCACACAATGGAATACTACGCAACAAGAAAGAACAACGATGAAGCTGTGAAACATCCTGTAACATGGTGGAATCTGGAAGGCATTATGCTGACTGAATTTAGTCAGTCACAAAAAGACAAATACTATATAAGGCCACTATTATAAGAACTCAAGAAAAGGTTTAAACACAGAAGAAAACATTCTTTGATGGTTACGAGGGTAACGAGGGAGGGAGAGGGGTATTCACTAACTAGATAGTAGACAAGAATTATCTTAGGTAAAGGGAAGGACAGCACACACTACAGGGGAAATCAGCACAACTGGACTAAACCAAAAGCTAAGAAGTTTCCTGAATACAACCAAACACTTCGAGGGACAGAGTAGTAGGGGCTGGGATTTGAGGACCATGCTTTCAGGGGACATCCAGGTCAACTGGCATAACAAAGCTTATTAAGAAAATGTTCTACATCCTACTTTGGTGAGTGGTGTCTGGGGTCTTAAAAGCTAGCGAGCGGCCATCTAAGATGCATCAATTGGTCCCAACCCACCCGGAGTAACGGAGAATGAAGAACACCAAAGTCACAAGGAAAAGTATTAGCCAAAACACAGAAAGGGCCACATAAACCAGAGACTGCATCAGCCTGAGACCAGAACTAGATGGTGCCCGGCTACCACCAATGACCGCCCTGACAGGGAACACAACAGAGTCCCTGATGGAGCAGGAGAAAGGTAGAGTGCAGAACTCAAATTCTAGTAAAAAGATCAGACTTAATGGTCTGACTGAGACTGGAGGAACCCCAGAAAGCATGGATCCCAGAATCTCTGTCAACCCAGAACTAAAACCATTCCCGAGGCCAACTCTTCAAAGATTAGACTGGACTACGGAATATGATACTTGTGAAGAGTGTGCTTCTTAGCTCAAGTAGATACATGAGACTAAACGGGCAGCTTCTGTCTGGAGGTGACATGAGAAGGCAGACAGGGTCAGGAAGTGGTTGAATGGACATGGGAAATCAGAGGTCGAAAGGAGGAGTACGCTGTCACAGTATAGGGAGAGCAATTTAGGGTCACATAACAATGTATGTATAAATTTTTGTATGAGAGACTAACTTGAATTGTAAGCTTTCACTTAAAGTACAACAACCAAAAAATAAATAAAAAAAGCAACCTATCAGCCAATAGTAATATATAAGCCTTAGGTTGATTCTGATTCGAACAGACAGTTATAAAAAATATTTATTTTTATAAATAAAATTGAGACAACTGAAAGTTTGATAATCTGCTAGATACTGGTATTAAGGAAATACTGTTAATTTTTGAAGACACAGTAACAGAATGTGGCTGTTTTTTTAAAGCGTCCTTTTTTTTTAGGATAATGCTGAAATATTATAAAAACAATGAGAAAAAAATAAAACCATCTCTACAGGTGTCACTCTGATGCAATGCAATGAATTCAACGTGTTTTATTTACCTCGTGTTTGTAGTTTTCTTTCTCCTTCAAGTTCAAGCTTATCTACCAGATAAACTCCTGAAAAAGGCATTTGGTCTCTTTCGCTAATTGTGTTTGTTGTGTGTGAATTCTTTCACCTTACAGGTTTTCACCACCACCATTACACTTTCTTCTACTGTCTCTGTCAACTCCATTTTGATACTCTGGGAACTGTGGAGGTAACCCTTCCTAAATCACAATTAACACCAACATATACAATATTCATTACAGGGGAATATTTAAAAAAAATTCATTAACAGAAAATGGTTATTTATTTTAAATAAGAAGCCATGATATCACTAAACACTGAAAGCAAGATATAAAATTGTATCTCTGATCCTACACAGGCATCCTGGGTGCTGCAAACGGTTTGTACTGGACTACTAACCAAAAGGCTGGCGGTTCCAACCCACTGAACAGCTCCACGGAATAAAAGCCTGGCAACCTGCTTCAGTAAACATTACAGCCAAGAAAGCCCTACAGGACTTAGTTCTAATCTGTAACACATGGGGTCACCATAAGTTGGAGTCGACTCAACAGCAATGGGTTTTTTTAACCTACATACCCCTTAACATTTTTTAAATAAGTAAAAAAAACAAATACACAAAAAATATATCGTGGAAGCAGGTTTTAGAAAAATTCACTGTGACCTTTACAAAAGGACTTTCTCGTTTCCTGTAAACACTGTGTCCCATTATTACGTTTTTAAGATGGACTTACACATGAGGTTACAAACTAGCAGGTCGTGTTTGGTTTACACAGTGTCTTTTAAAAATTCAAAATTGCTGACACTTTACAATGATTTCAATACCACTCTGAACTGGGGCCTATAATGCCACACAGCACCCAGTGGCTGGTGCTATGGAATGGCTGCCCCTGGGGACAGTATCAGGCCCACTCCCAAGGTCTTCTCAACTACAAAGGCCATTTGTTATCAGGTTTCCACCTCTGCTTTACTGACACGTGGCCTGCTTTTGATTATTTACCTTAAAAACCTTCCAGGTAACAGAGTTTGCAATCCTCAACTTCAATGCAGCTTTTTTAGGTAAATAAAACATGCCCATATTGATGCCCTGGTGGTACAGTGGTTAAGAGCTCAGCTGCAGTACAAATCTATCTGCCACTCCTTGGACACCCTATGGGGCAGTTCTACTCTGTCCAATGGGGTTGTTATGAGCTGGAATTGACTCAACAGCAATCGGTTTTGGTTATACTGAGGCTGGAAATTTTGTTACTAACTTTTTTTAGGTTGATAAAATTAAGGAGCTGATAAAGGATAAAAGGGCACTTGGAACATAAAAGTAATGCAAAGAATATAGAAATGCCTCTTCTATGTGTTTCTTCTGTGCTTACTTAAGTCGACATCAAGATAACTCTCAGTTATTTCCATGAGAAAAAACAGACCTCAGAAACTACAGTCACTGAAGCACACACATCCTCACCTGCATTGTTCCCAGTTCCTTTCTGCTTTTTTTTCTTGGCTAGTTGAATGGCTCGGTAATCAGTTCTTGCTGAGCCCCCACTTTCCTGAGACCAAAGAAAAGTGTGTCAGTCACTGGATCGAAATAGCAAAGGAAGGGTAGCAAGTGAACTACTGAAATTTAGAAGTCTGCTTTTTGGACATATTAAAGCTCCAACAATCATTCTAGGATCTCCAGCAGAGGCATATAAATAATCAAATGCCACAACCAATTAGTGACAGCTAAACAAACTCACGAGTTGGAACAATATATATAATTTTATTATTCAGAGAAGCAAAGTTTATTCCTCCAGTCTAAAACATACTAAAATATTTTACATAGAAACTGTTATAAAACGAATTACACACTTCTCTGCTTTCTGAAATGAATAACCAGCCTTCCCTTGGTGACTCAGGGTTAATTTACTGCAGTACTTCCCAACATTTCCCAAAATATGCCACAAAGCAATTATGTACAGCAGACTGGGGGAGGTCCTATTGATATATCCCCTGCAGAGGCCTCCCTGGCAGCAGGTGCTATACTCAAAGTCTCATTCACTAAAACAATAAATGAGTTACTGAATTCAGGAAGTTTACTGAGAGCCAGACAAACAGTATTCAAAGAGGACTTCAACTGTTGTAAACCTATGTATGTTTTATAAGAAAAGTGGTTTAATACTTATCACTATAAAAAAAGAAATGAAAAAAGAACAACCCTCAACAGCTCGTGGCATACCTGAAACCCATTCACCACACACCATTTGTACTCAGAGAAGCGAGGCTGCCCAAGGTCACACAGCTAGCAAGAAAATGAACAAGGGGTTAGGATCAAGGTCTTGCTAGCTCCTCCTGCCTCCACCCACAGTTCCGGTTCTGGAGATGGAGTGGGACATGACAGAACTACCAAGACACCACGCCCCTGCACAGAGAGGCTGATGTCCCCCCTTACCTCTGAACTGCAACCCATCCCCCACTCACTGCCCGTTTACCTGTCCACTTAGTAATCGCTGTGGCAACCTAAGCAAATGCTAGGAAGTATGACTATGCCAGTAACAAAGTTAAGACGCTAGAAAAGGAGAGACAGAGAGACTCTACTTTTTTCAAACTAAAAATAAAGCTGGCTCCATGCTAGTTCAGTTATTAAGTTCCCTCTCAATTAATTCTAATTTAAAAGATTGAACATTTTTGCACAATATAAATATTACCATAAAATTTAACCTGTGCCACAAAGAAAAAAACTACCTGATCATTCCCATCTAAGAAGTCTGAAGAAAAAGACTCTCCCAAGAGTCTTTAAATTACTTCAAATTATATTAAACGTATAAATGATATAAACATAATTAAAGTATATTAAACGTCCAGCCTGAAAATTGGTGAAGTACTTTTACAGTCTTCCAGGAATGAAGGTTCACAGACCATTCCCTTTTTTTCCTTTTCTTGTTAATTCTAATTTTTAAAAAAATATTTGGCATGGTTTTAAAGTTTCCATTAAACCTTTAAAGATAGTTTATATCGTGATTCTACCTCCTCTGGTCATTAGTAACTCTAAGGTCATTTTATCACGTGAGAAGGACCAAGGCAAAACATATCACCATTATGAAATATCCCAATTTTTTTCAAGAGAAAGAATACATTATCATGGAATCACAGAATTTAACAGGACCTTAGAAATCATCTAGCCAAACCCACTCATTTTAGAAATAAGTGAGAATTTAAGGCTCAGATAAGTTAAGTGATTTGCTCAAGGTCGTGAAAGCTAGTCAGTTCCAGACTCAAGATAAGAATTCAGATTTCCAGACTTGTTGGCCAGGGCTGTGTCCTCTTTTGTAAACCAGTAAGAAATGTCTGCATATAAATGATTAATCCAGAATTTCCTCAAAATTGAGTGTAAAAGGAGTGAGCTATGTGGTGGTGACTGAATATAGCACTTCATACCAAATACAAGTTTCCGGGCACTGCACTGAGGTCTATGTCTTTCTGAGCACTGCAGTTTTCTGCTGGGTTGGAGAGCCCAAACTGGGTTACCACTTTGTCTCTTTCCTGTGGCCCAACATCTGGGCCAGGAGGCAAGTTCCGTTCCACTTTGATTGGAGCCAGCAGTTCTGGGACATGGCTGTTTCCACCGGGGCTGTTTGAAGGGGTTGGTGTGGATCTGTTCAATGCCGAATTGCTGCTGGAGGTCAAAGCCTGTGGGTCTTGACTCAAGTTCTTCACAGGAAGAGACACCAGACAACCTAATGCTTCTGCACTTACAGTTTGCACATCATCTGGATTTAAGTTGCTCTGCTGAAGAACCGGTGCCGTTGACCCAAGCATGAGAGGGCTATCCAGACTGGAAGGAATGTCACTGTTGGCCACCAGGACCAGTGGGTCCATCTGGCCCAAGGAATTGTTGTTAACAGGAAGGTTCCCTCCCAGAGACGAGCTCACAGAATTAACATCAATAGTCAAGATTCCAGAGTTCACCAATGCCATGTCCGATGCAACTGTCGAACTATTATTATCACCAGATGCATTAGAGAAGAGAGACACAAGGTCTATATTATTGAGCTCGCTTTGTCCTGAGCTGGTAAGTTCACTGCTGGGCGTAAGAGAACTTGCAGCTTCTAGCTGAGATAAGAGATCTGAAAAAGGAATGAATTTTCCAGTTATATTATGATCTCAGAAGACTAAGAAATTTTGTTTATGCTCAAGATGTTAGCAAGTGACCCATCAAAGTAACATTTACTGTCTCCTTCATGTACCCTGTTGCCTAGTTACGACTGATTGGGAGTCCATGTTTGGCACATCAAAGCGGACCGACAAACACAACTGAAGGAACAGAATGCTCAATGGTGTGCTTCGTACATACATTGCCTCACTCCTCAAGCTGACAGGGATTCTTCCAGACAGACGAAATGACTCAAAACAGAATAACCTTCCCAAAAGTCACATGAACTGATAACACTGAGTGGCAAGATATGAATCTATATCTTTCAAGCTTCAAAGCTTGTAACTCCTTCTTCTACAACACAGCACCTATCTGAGAAGAACAGAAATTTTTTCATGTAACGTAAACCTTCAGAAGAAGTCAGTTACAAGCTGAACTCTGGCTCTGAGTATACTTTTGGAATCAGCTTGTGTCAGCTTTGTCTCATAAAACTCTATAACCTCATTCCACAGCTAGGTGCCACCCCAAAAATGACTTGAGTCATCTGGGGGTGAGCAGTAGGAACAAAACTGTCCTGCCTGGCCTGACTCTGGACGGAGGCAAAACAAAGAACTAGGACATCAAGCTCACCCCAGTGCTCTGGACATGTGTCCAGTTCAATGAAGTTTTTCTTGGTGGCCTCCCCAGCCCAGAGACCAACCACTCCATCCCTTGTGGCACCCTTCTCCCACCATTCTATTTCCAACCTCGAATACCCTCTCCCTTCTTCCTGCCCTCCCAGGCAATAATCACCCTGAAGGCAGAACCTTATCTGACCCATCTCTGTAACCTGAGCTCCTAGCAGGGTGCCTAACCCATAAGCAGCATTTAATGATTATAGTAGAAATAAATCTAATAGATGCCTCTTCATTTGGTGTCTTAACTTTTGACCATAACATTTTTCAGGATGAGGATTATTTGTTATTCAGTTAAGTAACTTAAATAATCAGAATACCTTTGGTAGAATAATGAACATTAACACACTTCAAAAAAATTTTCAATGAATACTCAGGTTGGATCATATATACAAGCACACACCAATTATACCAAATCTAAGGCCTCTTTTTAAGCACCAAGCAAATAGGAAAATGGGAGCACAATAAATTTGAGGGAAAGAGCCAAATAAAGCCTCCATATTATTCCTTCCCAAGAAGTCTCTAGCTGTAGCTTCCTCAGTGTGCTAGTACCTAACCTAGAGGAAATAACCCAGTGCCCAGAGGGAAAGGTGCTCTTGGTTCTGTGATTCTACCCCTCCACACCAACTGTTAGCTAAGCCCACACTCCGACTCCAAAGCTGTGAATGCCCAGAGCACCTATTACGTTTTTAAAGCAACCTGTGAGAGAAATCTACTCTAGACCGTAAAGGAAAAACCAAATTCAGAATATGTCTTCTCCAGCTGTCATAATAGTTCAGTTTAAAAAAAAAGGATCAATATATTATCACTTCTTCAATAAATATCTCTTACTATCAATGAAGGGAGCCCAGGTAGTACAAGTGGTTTGCGGCTGGCTGTTAACCTAAACGTTGATGATTTAAACCTACCCAGCAGCACCATGGAAGAAAGACCTGGCAATCTGCCCTATACAGATTACAGCCAAGAAAACCCTAAAGAGCAGTTCTACTCTGTCACACATGCGGTTGCCATGAGTCGGGGGCCAACTCCACGGCAGCTGACAAGTACCGATGAAACATTTTGAAAGAAAATGGTATGATTCTTTTAGAAAATTAAAAATTCTGCACTAGGCACTTCAACAAGACTTTTCATTCTGAGAACTACTCAAATTATCTTCACATGTTAAAGATGGGGAGACTGGGGCTCAAAGAGATGGGAAATGGCCACGTTCCTAGGCAGACGTTCTACCCACACCATGACACTCCCTGTCAAATAGGTGGAAATAAGAAGGCGCTGGTTAGTAACATACAGGTCTCCAACCACGCGCCCAGTGTGGAGTGAGTGCTCTAGTCTCCAGCCAGGAAAGGGTAGGGGAGAGGTAGCCACTGCTGCTACCCACTCATGCAATGTCCTGCCTTTGAGACTGTGGATGAGGTCCCAGAGGCAGGTTATCTAAATCCCATGCCATAATGCTGTGGAAGGTCTGAGAGAACCACACTCCAAAATCCTCCCCTCTATATGCATCTGGGCCATTGTATTGTTTCCACTCTCTGATCTCTCCACTCTCCAAGTCCTCACATCCCCCACCAGAGCATATCCTTAAAACACAACTCTATTCTGATCTTTAATGGCTTTCTATCTCACACAGGAAATAAATTTCAACGGTCTGACATCAATTTCGCAATGAGGACGGAGAAGAGGAGACAGATTTGAATGCCACTGCTTAGAAATAACAATATGACTTGGAAAGAGAGGAGCCAGAGTCAAAGAGGATGGAAACATTGGAGCAATAGGCTCAGAATCCAGGACAAAGGTCACAGGGGAAGACACAGATTTAGGAGACATATGCTAGGAAACACTGACAAAAGGAAAGACTGGAAATTCTTCAACAAAAGCACTTTAAAGACAAGGGAGAGATTAGAGGTCAGAGGCAGGGAAGTGGCAGGAGAGTCTAAAGAGAAGCCACCAGGCTTGGTAACCATGGTCCATGGGCTGGTAAGACTTCACTGTAATACAATAATTTGAACTAAAAACTGGATAATTTCTGAAATAAGAAAGAAGCAACACTCTGTTTGTCTCCTCCTTGCAGAAAACTCTTACATGTATCAAGCATATACATCTTTGTCACTCCCTGAGAGACACATAAAGTGACAAGACCTTGGCGCAGGTTGTGCTGTTTGACCACGTGAGTCTTCATGCTGTGTTTGGATGTGAACTGTCGATTACAGGTGGAGACCGGGCAGCGGCTTTTTGAAGTGTCCACATCCTGGAGGTGCTTCTTAGAGTGAATGTATAGACTACTGCGAGCAGAGAATCGAGCACAGCACCCTGGAACAAGAATGAATGAAACCTGAGGAAAACAATTCCATTTACAATAACATCTAAGAGAATAAAATATTTAGGAATAAACCTAACCAGGGACGTGAAGGACTTATACAATAAAAATTACAAAACACTGTGAAAAGAGATTAAAGAAGACTTAAATAAATGAAAAGATGTTCCGTTTTCTTGGGTTAGAAGACTTAATATTGTTAAGAGATCAATACTACCCAAAGTGATCTATACATTCAATGCAATCTCAATCAAAATCCCGATCAGTTTTCTTTATACAAATGGAAAAAACAATCCTCAACATTATGTGGAATGGCAAGTGGCCCCGAATAGCTACAGCGATACTGAAAGAGAAGAACAAAGGACTCACACTTTCTGATTTTAAAACATATTGTACAGCTACAGTAATCAAAACAGCTTGGTACTGGTATAACAAGAAACATACAGACCAAGGAAATACAATTGAGGGTCTAGAAATAAACCCACACATCCATAATACACTGAAATAAACCCACACATCACAATAAACTGATTTTCTACAAGGATGCTAAGTCCATTCAATGAGGAAAGAAGAGTCTCTTTAACAAATGGTGTTGAAAAAACTGGATTTCCACATGCAGAAAAATAAAACCAGATCCATTTCTCACAGCATACACAGAAACAAATTCAAAATGGATTAAGGAACTAAATGTGCTAACAAAACCTTAAAATTCTTAGAAGAAAATGCAGGGGCAACGCAGTCAGGCCTAGCTTTTAACAATGGATTATCTAATATAATAACAAAAGCAAAAAGAGCAAAAGACTAAATAAATGGGACCTCATAAAAATTAAAAACTTCTGTTCATCAAAAGACTTTACTGAAAAAGTGAAAACGTAAGCTAACAACTAGGACATATTTTCAGAAACCATATATCTGATGAGAATCTAATAACCAAAATATATATAAAACTTTGAAAACAACAAAAAGATAAATAACCCAATAATAAAATGGACAAAGGACCTGAATACATATTTCACCAAAGAGGACATTCAAACGGCCACCAAACACATGAAAAGATGTTCAATGTCATTAGCCACCAGAGAGATGCAAATCAAAACCACAATGAGATACCATTCCACTCTCACTAGGATGGCTAAGATCGAAAAAAAGAACAGAACAAATGTTGGTGAGGATGTGGGGAAACTGGAACCCTTATCCATTATTGGCGGGAATGCAAAATGGAACAGCCGTTGTAGAAAACAATGTGGTGGTTCCTCAAAAAACTAAAAATAGAAATACCATATGATCCAGCAATCCCAGTCCTAGGTATATACCCAAAAGACTTGAAAGCAGAGACTCAAACAGAGATTTGTACACCAATGTTCACTGCAGCACTATTCACCATAACCAAAAGGTGGAAATAACCTAAATGCCCATCAATAAAACCTAAAATGCCCATCAATGGATATACAAAATGTGTTACAGACATACAATAAAATATAACTCAGCCAATAAGAGAAATCAAGTCTTGATACATGGTACAATATGGATGGAGCTTAAAGACATTATACTGAGTGAAATAAGTCAATGAATAGGTTACAAAAGGACAAATATTGTATGACCTCACTTACATAGGAGCCCTGGTGGCTCAGTGGTTAAGAGATCAGCCAATAATCAAAAGATCTGCAGTTCGAATCCACCAGCTGCTCCTTGGAAACCCTATGGGGCAGTTCTACTCTGTCCTATAGGGTCACTATGAGTCAGAATCGACTTCACAGCAATGGGTTTGGTTTTGGTTTCTGGTCATTTATATAAAAAAAAAGGCAAATGTATAGAGACCAAAGTTTATTAGTGGTTAGGAGGGGCAGCACGGAGGGGAAAGGACGGTGTTAACAGTGATGGAAAAATCGCATTGTTAAGGGTAGGGTTTCACAGCGAAATACTGTAATTGATGTCAATAAATTATATACCTGTAAAAATTTGAATTGGAAAAGTTGTGTGATAGATATATTTACAACAATGACCAAAAGAAAAAAAAAAAAGTAGCTGCTGAAACTGCTTATGTACAACAAAAAAACCTCACAGGATTTGGTTCCTTGGTTTAGGGGTTTAGGATCATGGTTTCACAGGCCATCTCAGTTATAACTGGCCTAATAACATGTTTAGTGCTTCTCTTCTACCTCCTAGTTCTTGCACAGTGCCTGGGGTCTTAAAAGCTTGCAAGTGGCCATCGAAGGCATGACAACTGATTTCTATTCACCTGGAGCAACAGGAAGAAGAGTCAGGAATAGGAGGATATGGAATATGTGGCTAATTGCTGCCATGAACAACTGCCTCCTCTGCCATGAGTCCAGAAAAACTAGGTGGTGCCTGGTTACCATTACTGATCATTTTGATCACAGTCTATAGAAAAATCTTGATCAAAAAGGGGAAAATGCAGAACAGAATTTCAAATTCTCATAGACTCCAGACTTTCTGGAGCCATGACGGCTAGATGAACCCTGAAACTATTTCCCTGAGATAATCTTTAAATCTTAAAACAAAAATATCCCCAGAAGTCTTCTTAAAACCAAACAATAGTTTAGCTTAACTAGTAAGAAATATCTGTCTTGATCATTATGCTCTTTTAAGAACTATCTATATGGGATCAAAGTGACAACAGCACCTCGAAAGATTAGACAGGAACCTTTGCGGGGGGCAGCAGTGAGTATATGTTAATGGGGGAGGAACACCTCTGCAAAGGAGGGTGAAAATGGTCATACAACCTGAAGAATATAATCAATGTCACTGAATTGTACATGTAGAAAACGGCTGAATTGATGTTTATGTTTTGCTGTGTATATCCTCAACAACATAATAAATTCAAAATAAAATAATAAAAAAGAAGTATCAACAAACGACCAATCTGAAAATGGGTTTGAGATCTCTCCACCCCCAGGGCTCTTCACCTTATCTTCCCCACCTCACTTAAGAAGCTCTCAACCAACCACTGAGTGGTCTCCCCTTTCCTCTCCCATTATGGTCATCCTCTCTACCAGCTCCTCAACACTGAGACTTGCTGAAGTCTCAAGAATGTAAAGTTATTGAAAAATGAAAACAAAGCCCATCCTGTGTAGTCAGCTACTGTTCTTTCTGCTTTCCTTCAATCACCTCCTCTACAAGATGTCAGCAAAATCAACTCCTGGTATACCTTCAACTCACTTCTGGGGCCCTGCAGCAGGGTTTCCACCCTAGGTACTACACTGAGCCTTGCTCAGCAAGACACTGCTAACCCTGACAGTGAAGTCGAAAGGACACTTCTCAGTCTCAGTCCTGAATCTCAGTACTGAAACCTGACTTCTCCCTCCTTTTCCAAATACCCTCTCTCTGGTGCACTCTTTCGGCTACTCTTTAGTCTCCTTCCAGGGCTTCTCTTCTACTTTCCCACCTGAATTTATGGCTTTCTCCAGGGTTTTTCCTAGGCTCTCTTTTTTTACTTAATAGTAATAATAACAACGGTAGCTGCCATACACTGATGTTTATTATATGCTTTAAACTTACTAAGCCCTCACAAGTCCATCAGGTTTTATTACCACTTTGCATGAGAAAAAGAGACTCGAAGAGCTTAAGTTCCCTGTGCAAGGTCACACAGCTAGTAAGTGGCACTCTGGATTTGAACCAAGGAAGTGTGACTCCAGAATTTAAGCTCTTAATCCCCATACTATACTGCCTCTCTTAAACTGACACACTTTCTGGAGAATGTGATCTACTTCCACAGTTTCAAGGATTACTCATGCACTACCTGCTTCACTTTCAGCCCCATCTACTCACCAGAGTCCCAAAGCAGAATGTCCCACTGCCTTCCGAGCATCTGAACTAGGAAAGTCTGTGGGTACCTAAAATGCAAAATGTTCAGTACCCCAAACACCTCATCCCCTAAACCAGCCTGCTTGTGCTTCCTATCTCACCTGAGATACTGACCCCAACCATTCCTTCTCCCTCAAGCCCCACCTGGATCCAAATCAATCACCAAGTACTGTGAATTCTAACTCCTGGCTATCTCTTTCATCTATCCACTTCTCTCCCTCCCTACTGCCAAAGCCCAGGCCAGGACATCATCTTATCTCACCAAGATGATGGCAGTACTTCCCAAAAGTCTTACTGTCTTGAAACAGCCTGAGCTTATACTCATATATGATCACTTCACTCCCTTGCCTTAGCATTCAGCTTACTGCTTTTGTAACTCTAGGGGCCTTTCCCACACAGGTCTTTCTGCCTCCAACACCCAGACCCAAGTGTGCCCGGGTAACTCTTCCTCATTCTTCAGCAAACTGGGAGGCCATTCCCATCCCCTAAGAACAGTTTAGGTGACTGTCCTTTGGGATCCCACAGCACCCTGAATGTTACCTGTTTACCTGTCTGTACCACTGGCTGGAACTCTGATGAGAGGAGTAAACTGTGTCTTGTTAATGTCACTTATATTATCTTCATTATGTTCTAAGAACTGATCCCAGCTTTAAATGGGTCTTTATTATGCCCATTTTCCAGATAAGGAAACTGAAGCCCACAAAGCAGCTTGCCTAAGGTCACAACCTGGCTAAAGGTGGAAGTAGGATTTGAGCTCCTGACCATCTGACTAACTTATCTCTGCCTCACCAGTGTGGCTATAGCCCTAGGGCAGGGCCAGCACCAACAATTCACACACCAAACTGGTTTTTGTTAAATGAATTATGCCTTCATAACACTTTAAATATTCAAAATACCCTTTTTACAAGTCAGCTTACCTTTACTGCTGTCCAATCGCAATGAGTAGCTATCTCTTATTGAGTCCCTACTATGTGCCAGATGTCAAAACAGGCATTTTTCATATGTTATTTTGTGTAATCCTCAACCACCAAATTAAACAGGTTAACTAAAGCCACAAATCTAGTGAGTGGTAGGGCTAGGATTCAAAGCAAGTCTGATTCTGAAGTCTGGGCTCTTTCTAATATTGTTGTTTTATGCTGTCAGGTTGATTCCAACTCAAAGCAACCCTATA